GGTCCTGAGCAGTATTAGATTGTTTGCTCATTCATTCAACTAATATTTGAGGGCCTATTAGATGTCAGGCTGAGGATAAACGGAATAAAACAAAAATTCTTTCCCTCAAGGAGCTTTATTCTGGTTACAGAAACATAAGCTAAGTGAAATGTAGCTTAGGGTAGTGGTAAGTTCTAAGGAGAAAAAGCAGGAAAGGTAGATTTGAAATATTGGGGATAGAGGGAGGAAGGCAGTTGAACTTTTAGGTCAAAGAGTCAGGGAAGGGCTCACTGAGAAGGAAATCTTTGATCTAAGTCCAGGAAGAGGTGAGGAAGTTGGTATGTGAGGTAGTGATTTAGCTGATTCTTTGTCAAAGCATATGAATGATACATAAAGATCTCAATGTCCCTGCAGGAAAAGGTGGTAATTCAAGCAGAAATAGCTAAAGGAACAAACTTAAATTGTATGTCCTTTTAGTCTCTGCAGGGGATACAGTAATACCTGAGGTGTTACACAGATGGAGACGAAATGTCAGTTGCTAATGACCTGGCGGATTACCACCTCCAGAGTACTGGCCACTTGAAGGACCAATCAATAAGGGGAATTCAGCTCAATATTTCATCTGATACAGGTTTAGTTTAAGCAGAAAATAAAGGTGAAGAGTTCAGAGGACCATGGACAGATTTACCTTGATCTCTAGTTCTGCCTTTCCACTATTCTGCATTCAACAAGCACTTCATCATTGCCTCTTTTAGTGTTTAACATAATGCTAGACTTTGAGAAAGCAGCAGTGAACAAGATGGTGGTTGTCCCTGACCTCAGGAGGGGAGAGACATTAGGCTGTGACTTATATAGTTATTTAATAGGGAGCTGTGATAGGGAGCTGATTGGGGGCTATGAAAGAATGAAACTGATCTGAGAACTCAGGTAAGTCCTTTTTGAGGGAGAGATATTTAACTTGAGACCAGAAGGATAAGAAGGCATTAGCCAAATGAAGGATGAAAGATAATATAGGCAGAGAGACCTGAGGGATTGAAAGGCCATTGTGACGAGTCTATATTACAAGAGGAGCATGAGGAGATGAGTCTGGAGAGTTTGTTGAGGGTCAGATGATGCTGGGTCTTGTAGCCAAGATTAGGGTTTTCATTTCTGAGAACCAGGAATGTAAATGGGGGCTGGAGGCTAATATAGGATCACATGTATGCTTTGATTGGAGAGAAGCAAAAATGGATGTTAGGCTTTGAATTCAGATGGTGCTGGTGGAAATGGAGGGGAGTAGATGGAGCAGAGTGGTGTCTAGGAGGTGATGGATTGCATGTGGGAAGGATGAAGAGCAGTTTGGGGTCAAGAATGACCATCATGAAAAGGAAAAAAAAGAATGACCATCCTGTATTTCTTTGGGCAGCCAGATGCAATTGGCTGAGATGAAGACTAGAGGAAGATCTAATTTATATGAAAAGGTGAGTTTTAGACATGTTGAGTTTGAGGTTCCCTCTGAGATATCCAAATGGAGGTGTTGAATGGGCTCAGGGTTATCAAGGTCTGAAGAGAGTAATTTGAAAAGCACCCAAAGCAACGTGAGTGGATTAGCTAGTTCAGTGGAAAGCACAGTGAGAAAGGACCTAGGACAGCTGCCCCCCAACTCTGGGCATACCTGCTGCGAGAAGTAGCAGACTTCATTTCTGTTCTGTGATAGCACATGCCTTTTGATTTTTTGTTGTTGTTGTTTTTTATCCTCACCCGAGGACATTTTTCCAGAAACATCGACGTGAAAGGAACACATCGAATGGCTGCCACCCGCACAACCGACCAAGGCCGGGGACAAACTGCAACCGAAGCACGCGCCCTTAGCGGGAACCGAACCCGGGTCTCTCAGGACCCCAGGCCGACGCTCTAACCGCTGAACCAAACCGGCCAGGGCAGCACATGCCTTTTGAAAAGGGACTGCAAGTCACTGAGGGGAAGCAGTTGCTGTTTGTTTGTGTTACTGCAAATATTTCTGGAATGGTCATCCTGTTTAGTAAGAATGATAGCTCACATGAAGAAAAATTACTACATGTCAAACATGAGCTAAAACACTACCTACAGTGTCTCATGCAATGTTGAAAATCCTATGAGGCAGATACTATCATCTCCATTTTACAGATGTGGAAACTGAGGCCCTCAGACATGATCCAGAAACATGATCAAGGCATAGAGTGGATGGCCAAGCTCAGTTTACCTCACTCCAGGTTTGAGGCTCTTGGTTACTACAGTATGCTGCTTCTCCTGCTTCCTGGCATCTGCAACCATCCTTTCTAATTTCCACTCCCACCCCTCCCATCAGAAATATGTTATCAATCTTCTTGCCTGCTACCAGTGGCACTGCAGCCCAAACACCTACGCTATGAGTCCTATCGTATTTTTAGCCTGCCATGCCAAACTCTCTAAAGGTGGTTCCAATGCATCATGGGGCTGCAGAGGAGCAGAGAGCGGGAGGAAGTGTATATAGACCTGCCTCTTTGATATCTATCTAAATGTCCAATTACCGTACTATAGTCTACTTACCTGCATATCAGTAAAGGGTAGACATGAATACCACCACATCCCTGGAGCTAGGTCCAACATGAGAAAGGGACCATTACTGCTCAACTGGTCTAACACTAGCCTAGAAAAGGGAATGAAATTATTTAGGGTCATAGTGCTGACAAAATGCAGAACCTTACACTAGTTCCTCTCAATGACCTTCCCCCCCACACCCCCACCCCCATTTCTAGATTCCAGCTCTGCAGGCCCAGTTACTTAGGAGTTTCTTCCAGAAATGTCTGTTAATTTTAAGTGCTCATGTTTTTGGTTTCAATGACTGAGACATCAGAGGGATGCTTTCCAAGTTGTCTCTATGTTAGCATGTTATAGCTTTAACCTCGGTGTGCCTTGGGCCATTATTTTATTAAGGGATCCCAACAGCCTCCTGAATCAGTCTGACTTCAGCTGATCCTGGCCCAGAAACTCTAAGTGACCACTAAACAAGTCATCCACTCATATTCTCCCCTGCAAGAACCAGCCCTTGTATTTGTGGGCACATTTGTTTATGGCCCCCAAGAAGGCCACATCCCGTTTTGGGACCATCTTCTCTCTATTTTTAAAGAATAGTTTATCGATTTTTAGAGAGAGAGAGAGAGCAAGGAAGGGAGAAGACAGAAACATCGATGTCAGAGGACATCAATTGACTGCCTCCTGCACACCCCTTGCTGGGGATTGAGCCCAACATTAATTGACTGCCTTCTGCACACCCCCTACTGGGAATTAAGCCTGCAACCTGGGGCACCTGCCCTGACTAGCAACCTCTTGGTGCATGGGATGATGCCTAGCCAATTGAGCCATACCAGCCAAGGCCAGCTTCTCTAGTGTTTTGGGTGCTAGCATGTTACATTGGTTATGTGTTTAGAGCTGAGTGATATAATACTCATTTCACAGATGAGGAAATAGGCTAAACAGATTAAGTAATTTGCACAGGGTCACATTGCCAGTGAGCAGTGGAGCTGGGATTTAAAGCCAGACAGTGATACTCCAGAGTGTATGCTGACCACTTAGCACACTGCCTTCATGTCTATCCACAGGAGATGTGGAGGAGGAATACTCCACCTCTACATTACCTCCTACCCTTTGGAGCCCCCAGATCAAGGCCTAAGGGTCCCCCCTATCAGCATTGTGTGACTTCATTATACTAGCCAGGGGTCCTCATATTTCCTTACATTTATTCCATTTAGTTGTCTCTGCAACCAAGGATCACACAGATTAGCTGGGTTACCCTTACTTACTGTTGGCTGGAGAGGTCTGGCTACATTTCCAAAGACCAAACTAAAATGTTCTGTGAGGTTATCACGGAATTAGCACCATGGGGGCTTGGCTGATGTTAGCTCTCCAAGACATGGATAATTAAGGCAAAGGTGAAATGTCTTTTACTTGTCTCTGCTGCTTTGTGGGATAGGAGCCAGGAGGGGCTCTTGGGCACAGGCTAAGAAGTGGTGGTGAGGAGCCCTGGCCTGAGACTCCAGCCCTAGCATGCATTTTCCCCAGCCTTAGCTGCATCCTTAGACAGGTTTCAGTGTCTGACAATCCTCACCCAAGGTCTGTAGAATTGTGTGCCTGTATGCAAGTGTCCTTAGCATTCTTCAGATTCTCAACAACTCAGTGACCCCCAAACGATTTAGAGCACTGGGTTAGATAATCTACCAAGTCCTGTTTTAGTCAAACATTCTCTCAGCTCTAGTGCCCCAGAACCAGGTGACTCCTGAAACTATTTTAAACCCCCATAAACTCCCTAGAATTAGGTTCATTTTGAAAATGGTTGAGGTTATCACAAATCTTTCTTTTCCCTCTCAGGTTCTTTGAGATTGTTTTCTGGTAAGGTTCACTCATCCATTGCTTTCTCTTGTGTTCTCCAGAGCTGGCTTCCTGCCTAGTTTGGGAAGAAGTGCTGAGCAGCTATCCCCATCGCCTGACCCTTAAACCCTTCCTTCACTAGCTGGTTCTGGTATAGAAATGGCTCTTGGAAGTGTTCAGGCCCAGGGAGGCTGTGAGAGCAAGAAGAGGACAGGGAAGAGAAGGGAAGGTTGTCACTGAGCCCCTTTTCAGGGAGTATTTTTCAGCAGATGAGGCAGGAATTCCTCTTTGAGACTGACTCTAAAAACACTTCCCAGAGCAAGTAACTGACTGACCACCTGGGAAAGCTGGAGAAGAAGTATTAAAACTAATCTGGGACACAGCAAGGCAGGAGGCGGGCATCGGCTACCAGGTTGCTTATAAGGATGTCTTGCCCTTATCTGACTTTCCAAAGTGGCGAAAATAAGGACCAGGGTGTTCTCAGCACTGGGTCTAACTCAGTGAGGTTTTATTGTAGAAATGCATTCCCTAGAGATGTGGAACATGCGTCCCCACCACAGTGTGTTGCTGGTGGGACCCCGTGCCTTTAAACTGGCTCCTCGCCACCCATCCATGCCCGTAGAAAAAACTGGGTCCTCGGACCCAAGCGGGACCTAGTGAAACTCCCTGTCCCCTCACTTCTCCTGGAGCACGCGGTCATTGAGGGCCATCATTCCACAAAGTCAGGCTGGCAGGGTCCTAGCAGGGTCCTCGGTGCTAAGAACTGAGAGAGGTGGTAACAGCCGCGGGAAGACAGCCACAGGGCCAGCGAGTACGAAAGGCAGGTCCGGGCTAGATGTGCTCTCGCCATGCTTGCCCTTAATGTGCGCAAAATGAGGAAGTCAGCAGGAGGCGAGCAAGGCGCTTAGGTCCCGCTTTACCTGCTGGCCCAGGGAAAAAAGGTTCTGCCAGGGTATCAGAACCTTGGTACCTCACCGTTACTAGGAGCGGGAACCTAGGCAGGTCTGACGCCTCGGACTCCCTTTACTCCTAGGTTGCCACTCAAGGTCCGAAAGGGTGTTTGGGTCAGAGCGTAGTGTGCCCTGGGGCCGGCCACCCCCAGGGGTCAGGCCCGCCCTGTCTGGTTCCCTCCACTGCTCTTGGCGAGAGCTGGACATGGCCCCTGCAGGTCCTGGCTCGCTGCTCCGTTACACCAGCCGAGTCTTCCAGGGCGCGCGGGCATCCCGAAGCGAGCGGTCGTGGGGCAGCGCGGGGAAGGCCGAGTGGCGCAGCTGGCAGCCAATGAAGAGGACAACGAGCGCCACGGAGAGCAAAAGCAGGAAGAAGAGCAGCAGGTAGGTGGGCAGGTCAGGCTTTGAGGCCGCGCTGTCCCGCATACCGCGCGCGGTGGCGAGCTCCAGAGGCAGAACGCCCTCCGCCTTGACAGTGGCTGCCAAGGCCAGCGCGCTGCCCACCGCCACCTCGGGGCCGCCGGTGGCGTTGAACACGTCTCCGTACATGGCCCGCGGGTCCCCGCTGACCCGCTCACTTCGCCTCTCGTGGATTGGCGCTGCTCGGCGCCTCCATGGCGCACCCTCGCACCCTGCTGCGCGCAACTGACCAGGAGTCAGAGCCTTCAGGGCAAATGGGGCGACCGCGGCAGCTCCCTCACCTCTGCGCTCAGCTGTCCTCTCTGCGCGGTGGACAGCCCCCGGGCTTGCAGCAAGGTGGCTTCTCGCCCGCGCCCCTTGGTCTTTACCTGTGTCTCCCTGTTGTCACCTGCAGTGCCGAATCAGGATCTCAAGGTTTCACTGCCACCCTCTAGGCTCTGAGCCCCATCTCCAGTGAGCTCCGCGCTCCAGGGCGCCTGTGGGCTGCAGCGGCCGCAAGAAGTGCCTGCTGAGCTGGTCAAAACTCTGGTCCCTGCTCGGCGCGGTCTGGAAGCCAAGTGCACCCAGAATGAAGGTGGGGAGTTCTCCGCGGCTTCTGGCGCTGCCGCCGCCGCTGCCGTCGCCGCTACCGCTGCCGCGGAGTCTCAGAACAGCCCTTGCAACCTCGAGTCCCTGTCCAGATGCTGAGTGTGCGAGGAGCCTGTTCCACTCGCGTGGGCTGCTGCACTCCTGTCTTGTGCAGGAGACTGAGCGCTGAGACGCCTCTGAGTGAGCTTAGGTCCCGGGTAGGGGGCGGGACTGACAGAGGCCGTCCCTGGGATGCAGCTGAGAACCAATGAGGGTGAGAGAGGACAGGACTGTGACTGCCCCTGCCAGACCTCACATCATTCACAGACAGAGGGACACACAAAGAGAAGGAGGGAGAAAAAACACAGGGTCACAGAAAGATCGACGGACAAAGAATCGGGTACAAATTTAATGGAGACACAGAAAACAGAGACAGTTGTGAACAGCAAACCGACTCGGAAACAAAGTTCAACCAGGCATGGACACCTGCTTTCATCCTCCTCTTTGACATCTTCCTCCCAGCCAAGCCTGGTTGGCCCAGAGCCCCACTGGCTGCTAGATCTCTCAGGCAGGACACACAGTCTCCATGGGAAGCCCAGGGGCCACTCCCAGGCAAGCTGGGACTGGTTTGGCCGCTCAGGCAACTCCCTAGCTATGTCTTAAGGGTACATGTGCTTCCCCCACCAGGAGCTCATTCACTCAGCTCCCTGGCCTGGCCTGGCCAGTACCAGCACACAGGGAAGAAGAGGAATGATGTTGGTGATGGCCCACCTCCCCTTGGCAGCCTTGGCAAAGACTTGGTAGCTAGGACAGAGGTGAGCAGTCAGTGGGACTGAGGGAGGAAAAAAAGGGGGCTGTCTCTTTCCAGGGATCCAAACTCCTCACTCCTCTGAGAAACCTTCCAATCCTCCTAGACTAGGATGGGAACCACTGCCCTGACCATCACTACCCCTGCACTTCTCAAGTAACTCCAACTGGCCCTGGCTGGAAAGGTTAGTTGGTTAGAGAGTCCCAATATGCCCAGGTTGCAGGTTCAAGCCCCAGTAAGGGCACATAAAAGAGTCAACCAGTGAATGCATAAATATATGGAACAACAAATCATTGTTTTTCTCTCTCTCCCTTCCTCCCTTTCTCTTTCTCTTTAAAACCAGTAAATACATAAAAAAGAAAGAAACAACGACAATCCTGGACTGTCACTGTCTTGCAGGGCCAGAATTAGGGGGAGGCAAGTGAGGAGCCGAGGGCATGAAACTGAAGTGTTTGCCCTTAGGGTCCTGCAAGTCAGGAGTGAGTGTGCCTCCTTCCATGTGGCACCCTTGGCACCTCACCACCACCCTAGTCCCAGCTCTGTTGTCTGGTCACTTGTCTGAGAGCCCTATAGGGTCAGCCAAGTTCACAGCTATCTTCCTTCCCCCATGGAGGGGTGTAGTGCATGGGGAGAGCTTGGTGAGCACTGGCTGAAGGAACCGGTGGAAGCATAAGTTAGTTATTCCCCTCTCCATCACTGCACCTTACACTTGGCGACCCTGGTGACATGAACAACCAAGCTGTGCAAGGCCATTTTTAGCCACAGCTCATTCCCATTAATCCCAACTCAGCCCAGGACAAACACCTCTGTGAGCTCTTTGTCTGATGTTGAAATTGTGGTTCTAAGTCCTGACCCTGCAGAGTGTTTGACTGCTGGCTGAGTGAGGTGCAGACATGCTCCAGAAGCCCTCTTCAGTGTTTTCCTCTTAGTCCCATGGACAGGCTTCTGGGGGCCTCCCTGGACTGGAAGAGGGCTGTGTGTGTGTGTGGATGGGGTGGGCAGCAAGACCTGGCAGGACTCAGCACTGCCCCTCTGCCCACCTTGGTCCTGGAGAGCTGCCCAGTGTGCTTCAAGGGCATCGGACCCTGAAACCCCTATGAATGGCTGCTGCTTAGGCCAACCATTCCTTTTCCAGATAGGAAAGCTGGCTCCAAGAGGGGCAAAGCATATCCTTGTTAGCGCAGGACAGCCACCATGGAGCAGTGACACTGCAGTCACTGAAGTGAGCCACTCGAACAAGGGACCCGTGTCCCTTTCTCTGAAGGCCTGATCTATTTTGAACAGCATTTTACTCAGCCAGCAGGACCCTAGGTGACATGATGTGAAACCAGAACAGGCCTCCTGACTGACACTGTCAGCCACAGGGAGGGCAGAGGGGTTGGATGGAGGGGAGTTTATCCTGGTGAAGCCTCGGCTGCCGGTAACTCCCTGTTAAAGCTTGACTGCAGGGCTTGAGGGGCTTGGTTTGGAGTCTGGCCCTGTGTTTGCACGGGGAATAACATGGTCCTGCTGTCCCCATTTTCTTTGCACTCCACCCATGGGATCAAGTAAGACACTAGGTGATGGCAGGAAGCCTGGGTAGCTCAGTAGGAGGTCCTGCATGGAATCTGGGGCTATAAAATGGGGGTTGATGGTAAGTGATTTCTGGTCCTGTTTTGGAAACATGCTGTGAGCATTCAGGAAATGGGTATGGATCAGGGGGAGTCTGCTCAGGGTTTGGTGTGGATGGTGGTGGAGGTGGTGGTGGTGGGGGTGTTCCTGCAGCTCCATTGCTCGTGTTGGGTTTAGGAGGGGAAATCTGTGAACCTGAGGTCATTGGCACTGCTCAGTTTTCCTCTCACAGCTGCTGCTTTTCATCATCATATTGAATTTTTAAGAGTCAACACATGCAAGGTCTTGCAGCCTGTGAAAGAATGGTAGAGCTGGGACTTGAAACTGGGCAGCCAGGCTCCAGAGTCCATGCACTCAGTTGCTACCATGGACACCTCCAATGGCAGGACAGTTCCAGTATGTGGGCCTCTTCTCACAGGCCAAACCCTGGCTTGGCCTCAGCATGATATTTCTCCTCATAGCAACCTGTGATATGGACACCACTATCTCCCCCATTTTCCCAAGCTTGTACCTTGAGAAGTGGTGTCACTTGCCAAGGTCACACAACCAGGCCATGGTGCAAGAGAGCCTCAGATTCTGTAGCCTGTGCTTGTCTACACATCTTAAGCTACTGCTTCTAATGGAAAACGGCAAAGAGCATGTGATTAAATTGTCTTGCTGTTTGGTAAAGTTGGAGGAGGTATCTTGCCTTTTTTGGGGGGTCTTTTGGTTCTGAAGTGGGGAGTGCACTGTTTCTTTTCTGAAAGATGTTCAGGGAATCAAGAGGGCAGTTATGTTCTCTGAATACTCCCAGGTATGACATTCAACAAGGCTTGTGCAGAGATGAAGTTTCACAGCTTTTTACACGAGCCAGAGTGACCTTCTATTAAGGGAGCTTTGTGTGCCCACACATTTAAGTCTCAAAAAAGATTATAAAAAGCTCAGAGGCTGGCATTGACAAGCAGAGGTTCCAGGGCCGGGACCCAGAGCCACCTCTTCCCCATTACATGGTCACTGAGTGACGCACACTCCTTTCCCCACCAGCCTATCTGCAGAGAAACCAAGAGAGGTGAGGCAAGGGTGCTTTTCCTGCCACCATAGGGCCATTTAGCATCTGTTTAATGAAAACTTGGGAGACTGGGAGATGGAGAGCCCCATGATTTCCTGTGATGCTTGGTGGAGCTATTTCTGTTTCTTCTGCATACCAGGGGATTTATTATTAAGCAGCTTAGCATCACCAAGAAGCTGGGGTGGAGATCAAGTGTGAAATGTTGCTGTCTGAAGGTTGGAGTTTTTTGCTGCTGACTGTTTTTTTTTTTTTTTCTCTGTGTGTTGAAGGAGGTTGCAGTCAGACTGTTGTGGAATGGCTTCCACTTCCTCTGTGACTGCTGAGGATGCCCTGGCTCATAGATGTTTCTTTTTAACCACTACCCCTGGCAAGGTTTTTTCTTGTTTTTGTCTTTGTTTTACTTTAAAACAAAGATTTTTAATTAATTTAGAGAGAGAAAAATATCAATGTGAGAGAGAAACATCAATTGGCTGCCTCTTGCATGCACCCAACTGGGGATCAAGCCCACAACCCAGGCATCTGCCCTGACCGGGAATTGAACTGCAACCTTTCGGTGCACTGGTTGATGCCCAACCAACTGAGTCACACCGGCCAGGGCTGACTTTGTTTTTACAAATGGCTTTGGTAACTGTAGTGGCTGGTAAGTTAAGGTTGCATTTTAGAATTACCATTTTAGAACTCAACAGCCAGCAGGCCAAAGTCCAGGCTCTGAAATGAGATTTTTCCAAGTGGTAATGGGCAGTAGTAGACTCAGAGAGTGGTCAGCCAGAACTTTTGAGGAGGTTGCAGTCTGTTTTTCCAAGTAGGATTACTAGAGAAAGGATGGGTGTGAATGAGAGGTGATTCTGTAAGAAGAGAGCTCATAATAAGGCTCCCCTCCTAGAAATGGTCCCTTCACCTCTGTCCCCTGATCCCTCGAGCCTGCAGTGTCTTACAGGATCAGATGGTAGGACGAAGTCAGTGATGTGGTTCACTGGGCTGCCTGGGGCTGGGGCTGGGAGTCTCAGGCCACCTGTTACCCCACACATGGCCAAGGGCAGCTCCAGCTGGAAAGACCTGGTCTCAGTTAGCAAGAAGCTCTGGGATTGGGAACCTGCAGGAAGGTGTGTCACCAGCTCCTGCTGTCAGTACTTCCTTCTCTTGTCTACCTCTGGAGTGAGCTCTCTGAGCCACCTGCAGGGAGCTGGCCCAGGATGGGGAGCTAGTCCAGGATGGGGAGCTGGCCCAGGATGGGGAGCTGCAGCAGATGCAGGCTTGAGCTCTGCCTCCACACTCTGCTCTAAGCTGGGCTCCTGTGAGGCAGTTAGAGGCCTGACTTCCTCGAATCTCAGGGATTAGTCCTGGGCCTGCATGGACAGGTACCCCCTCCTCACTTATCCCACCCCAAAGAGCAGGTCAAGTCTGTAAACCAGGTCCTCTAGAGAATTCTCTACCTTCTCAATGGGGCCCCTGGCAGCTGGTCTGGGCCTCTTACAGACTCTGTTCTCATGGGCATAAATCCCGAAGTCTCTTTGCACG